TCGGCCAGGCCCCCCCTCTCCCACTCCCGAACAACCCCGAGCCCCTTCCCTCCCTCCCCTCCTACCTCCCCCCTCGGGCAGCCCCTCCGACCAACCCCCCCAGTCTCCCTTTCCTCCCTCCCTTCCCTCCCCTCGCCAGCCCCCTCCCCCCCCTCGCCCGACCACCCCCCAAAAGCCCCCCTTTCCTCGCCTCTCCACCTTGCCCCTCTTCCAATCCCCCTGAGCCCCCCTCCCCCTCGACGCTCTCCCCCCCTCACGACCCTCCCCTCTTGAGCCCCCGAACCCCCCCTTCCCCCCCGGGCAGTCCCCTCCTCTCCCCTCGCCTTGCCGCAGCCCCCCTTCCCCCCTCCTTGCAGCCCCCTTCGCCCCCCCCCCTTCCCTAATTTTTTAGCAGGCTAATCGTGATCACCGGCGTGTCCGTTGTTTCATCTGCTTAAAATGTATAATTTTTCTACCGAGCTTTAGAATTTTTAATTTTTTTAATTATTTATTGTTGAATTTAGTTTAAAAACCCTAATTTATGATAAAAAATAAACGAGTTTAATTCTAAAAACCCTAACTCAATTACATGTTAATTCATTTGAACAACACTAGTAATCATATTTTTTTAAACACTTATAAACCCTAACTCATTTAAGTTTCATTCGTGCTATAAGTAGGTGTGATTATTTAAGTTTGTGATGTGAAAATATATGAAATAAATTTTTTTAAAACATAGAGTGATATATAACACATTATAATTTTTTATAATGTGTTATAATCCAATTTAGGTGAATAAAAAAATAACGTTATCCCTAGACTTCTGTCCAATAATTACATTCAATTCTTTGGACTTATAATATATGATATACGACTCAGATTTGGGTAGGAGACGAAGTTTTCTCCCAAAAATGAGCGTTTATTTTATATTATAAGAATAAAAATTGGTACTGAAATTCGTAATTATTGGATCTGTCCTTCTCGGACGGGTTAAGAATATAGTTGTGCATACATCCAACTTTGTATACTTTGTATATTTTTATTCTTGAAAGTTTTGGTAGTATGTATTCATTGTTCTCCGTGTACAATAAGCGTATGTTGTTCTGCATTTCGGGTTATTGCTGATACGCATAATAACATCCGCACAGTGTACAGGGAGAACAACGGGTAGGTGCTGCCAAAATTTTTAAGAAATGAAAATATACAAAGTATATGAAGTTGGATGTAAGCACTACTATATTCTTAATGGATAAAAGCCTTCCTATGACAGCCGCAAGATTAGTATAATTAGTTTCTACGTATGTTTTATATATATTTTATTTAGTAGTTGTGAGACTAATCGTATTAAATAATTATATATAATTTACAGATGAGGATAATTCCTGACAAATCATGGATAGATATCCCTAGACATCGTAGATTTCGTGACACACGATACAAGGAGGGATGTGAAGCCTTCATGCGTTATGCGGAAATGAATCCGAGAAAATTAGCAAGTGGTGCTATGTATTGTCCTTGTTGCATGTGTAGGAATTTGAAATTGCTGAATAGTAATGATATACGGATCCACCTAATGAAATCAGGTTTTGATGAAAAATAATTTGAAGCTGCTGAATAGAAATGATATACGGATTCACCTAATAAAATCAGGCTTTGATGAGAAATCTAAATATTGGAACTGACATGGGGAAGGTATCACTGAAGATGAGGATCCAAATATGTGTGTTGGTATATCTGGTGGCCAACGAATAGATAACACAGAAACAATGTTGAATGATATTTTTCCTCGACCTACAGGATATGATGTTGATGATAATGTCGAGGATGATATCGGAGATAAAAGTGAAGATGATATCGATGTTGAAGCTGAAGAAGTAGGAGATGATGGAAGTGCCGAAAATATTGATGATATGCATTCCTCCGCAGAAATAGAACGAATATTGAAGCTACTAGAAGATAGTGAAAAGGACTTATATGAGGGATGTACCGAGTACTCCAGATTTTCATTTATGCTAAAACTCCTACACATTAAGACACTTAGCGGTATGTCAGATAATTATTTTGAAATGCTTCTTGATTTGCTTCGAACTGTAATACCTGGAGGAGTGAATAGCATACCCCAAACAACTTATCAAGCTGAGAAGATTGTCGCTGCTCTGGGTCTAGATTATAATAAGATTGATGCATGTCCGAATGATTGTATTTTGTACCACAAGGCCAATAAAGACCTTCAAGAATGTCCGACATGTGGAGTTTCTAGGTGGAAACAACGTACAAATTCTTCAATAAGGATTACAACGGAGACAGAGATAACACAGAAGAAAATTCCAGCCAAGGTGCTTCGACATTTTCCATTAGCTCCTAGATTGCGAAGATTGTACATGAACAAAGAAACGGCGAAAAATATGAGGTGGCACAAGGAAGATCGAGTAGATGATGGTAAATTGAGACATCCTGCTGATGCGGTAGCTTGGAAGCATGTTGATAAAATTTATCCTCGATTTGCCGAAGATTGCAGAAATGTAAGACTGGGTCTGTCAAGTGACGGATTCAATCCATTTGGGGTAATGAGCTCTGGTTGGTCTACTTGGCCAGTTGTACTAATGCCATATAATTTACCTCCATTGCTTTGTATGAAACAGCCATTTATGATACTTTCATTACTGATACCCGGTAAACATGCACCTGGAAATGATATTGATGTTTACTTAGAGCCTCTAATTGATGAGCTGAAACAACTATGGTCTGAGGGTATTGTAACATATGATGCCCATTTAAAAGAATCGTTTAGATTACGTGCTATTCTATTATGGACGATTAATGATTTTCCAGCCTATGCTAATCTGTCTGGGTATTCCACAAAGGGAAAGTGTGCTTGTCCTGTATGTGGTCCGGAATTTGAAGCTCTTCAATTACCACATAGCCGAAAGAGTTGTTATTGGTTTAATCGAAGGTGGTTGCCCTTGAGTCATAAGTACAGAAAATTATCAGCTAAGTTTGATGGCACAGTTGAGAAAAGAATGAAGCCGCGTCAACTCACAGGTACTGAGATCGTTCAATTACTTGAGGGGTTTCCAAAAGTTGTGTTTGGGAAAAAACGCTATTCTAAATTTAGCCCGCTCAGAGTAAGAGATTATTTAAAGTCAAAAAGGCCACTGAAGCGTAAGCGAAAGGTCCGGAAAATGCAAGTTGAGGAAGAAGACCAAAAATTACCTAGAGGATGGACTAAATTTAGTATCTTCTTTCAGCTACCTTATTGGCAAAATCTTAAAATCCGCCACAACTTAGATGTCATGCATATTGAGAAAAATATATGTGATAACATAGTATCAACTCTCCTACAAGATGCAAACAAGTCGAAGGATGATCTACGGGCGCGCCAAGATCTGACTGACATTATAATTTTTTTATAATGTGTTATAATCCAATTTAGGTGAATAAAAAAATAACGTTATCCCTAGACTTCCGTCCAATAATTACATCCAATTCTTTGGACTTATAATATATGATATACGACTCAGATTTGGATAGGAGACGAAGTTTTCTCCCAAAAATGAGCGTTTATTTTATATTATAGGAATAAAAATTGGTACTGAAATTCGTAATTATTGGATCTGTCCTTCTCGGACGGGTTAGGAATATAGTAGTGCATACATCCAACTTTGTATACTTTGTATATTTTCATTCTTGAAAGTTTTGGCAGCACGTATTCGTTGTTCTCCGTGTACAATAAGCGTATGTTGTTCTGCGTTTCGGGTTATTACTGATACGCATAATAACATCCGCACAGTGTACAGGGAGAACAGCGGGTAGGTGCTGCCGAAATTTTCAAGAAATGAAAATATACAAAGTATATGAAGTTGGATGTAAGCACTACTATATTCTTAATGGATAGAAGCCTTCCTATAACAGCCGCTAGATTAGTATAATTAGTTTCTACATACGTTTTATATATATTTTATGTAGATAAATATTTATATTGTTAAATAATATATGAACGTATGTTTGATGTGTGTTGAATGTATAAGAGTCATGGGTGTATTAGTAGTTGTGAGACTAATCGTATTAAATAATTATATATAATTTACAGATGAGGATAATTCCTGACAAATCATGGATAGATATCCCTAGACATCGTAGATTTCGTGACACACGATACAAGGAGGGATGTGAAGCCTTCATGCGTTATGCGGAAATGAATCCGAGAAATTTAAGAAGCGGTGCTATGTATTGTCCTTGTTGTAGGTATAGGAATTTGAAGCTGCTGAATAGAAATGATATACGGATTCACCTAATAAAATCAGGCTTTGATGAGAAATCTAAATATTGGAACTGACATGGGGAAGGTATCACTGAAGATGAGGATCCAAATATGTGTGTTGGTATATCTGGTGGCCAACGAATAGATAACACAGAAACAATGTTGAATGATATTTTTCCTCGACCTACAGGATATGATGTTGATGATAATGTCGAGGATGATATTGGAGATAAAAGTGAAGATGATGTCGAAGTTGAAGCTGAACAGGTAGGAGGTGTCGAAAGTGTCGAAAAATATTGATCATATGCATTCCTCCGTAGAAATAAAGCGAATAATGGAGTTACTAGAAGATAGTGAAAAGGACTTATATGAGGGATGTATCGAGTACTCCAGATTTTCATTTATGCTAAAACTCCTACATATTAAGATACTTAGTGGTATGTCAGATAATTATTTTGAAATGCTTCTTGATTTGCTTCGGACTGTAATTCCTGGAGGAGAGAATAGCATACCCCAAATAACTTATCAAGCTAATAAGATTGATGCATGCCCGAATGATTATATTTTATACCACAAAGCCAATAAAGACCTTCAAGAGTGTCCGACATGTGGAGTTTCTAGGTGGAAGCAGCACACAAATTCTTCAACAAGGATTACAACGGAGACAGGGATAACACAGAAGAAAATTCCAGCCAAGGTGCTTCGACATTTTCCATTGGCTCCTAGATTGCAAAGATTGTACATGAACAAGGAAACGACAAAGAATATGAGGTGGCACAAGGAAGATCGAGTAGACGATGGTAAATTGAGACATCCTGCTGATGCTTTAGCTTGGAAGCATGTTGATAAAATATATCCTCGTTTTGCCGAAGATTGCAGAAATATAAGACTGGGTCTATCAAGTGACGGATTCAATCCATTTGGGGTAATGAGCTCTGACTGGTATACGTGGCCAGTTATATTAATGCCATATAATTTATCTTCATTGCTTTATATGAAACAACCATTTATGATACTTTCATTACTAATACCCGGTAAGCATGCACCGGGAAATAATATTGATGTATACTTAGAGCCTCTAATTGATGAGCTGAAATAATTATGGTTTGACGGTATTTTAGCATATGATGCCCATTTAAAAGAGTCGTTTAGATTACGTGCTATTCTATTATGGACGATTAATGATTTTTCAGCTTATGCTAATCTGTCCGGGTACTCTACGAAGGGCAAGTGTGCTTGTCCTGTATGTGGTCCAGAATTTGAAGCTCTTCAATTACCACATAGCAGAAAGAGTTGTTATTGGTTTAATCGAAGGTGGTTGCCCTTGAGTCATAAGTACAGAAAATTATCAGCTAAGTTTGATGGCACAGTTGAAAAAAGAATGAAGCCGCGTCAACTGATAGGTAATGAGATCGTAAAATTACTTCAGGGGTTTCCAAAAGTTGTGTTGGGAAAAAAATCGCTATTCTAAATTTAACCCGCTCGGAGTAAGAGATTACTTAAAGTCAAAAAATCCATTGAAGCGTAAGCGAAAGGTCTGTAAAATGCAAGTTGAGGATGAAGCCTAAAAATTACCTAGAGGATGGACTAAATTTAATATCTTCTTTCAGCTACCTTACTGGCAAAATCTTAAAATCCGACATAACTTAGATGTTATGCATATTGAGAAAAATATATGTGATAACATAGTATCAACTCTCCTACAAGATGCAAACAAGTCGAAGGATGACCTACAGGGCACCAAGATCTGATTGCTTTGAATATCCGAAATGATTTGCAAGCTCAAGACGTTGGCCTTAAAAAATCAAAGTTACCTCCGGACCATCCCCCTCTGATGCAGCACCAGAACCATCCCCCGACGTAGGTATTCAATATTTAATAATTGATAATGGTCAATTAAAATTTCATATTAATGATTCTCCTTTCTTATGTAGGTGCTTCTTGGACCCCGACATATCCATCATATACATTCTATACTGACTTGTGGCCGAAGACACAGGACTATCTCAGTTTACCCTTATCTTTGGACTCTCATAAGTCCAAGGCTGACTCAAGGAAGTACCACCCACGTGCTGCGAGAAAGTTAGAGGAAATGCTTCCTATGTTGGAGACTAGGAAAGCTGATGCACTCACAGCAAAAGAAAGAGAGATAACGAATGGTAAATTGTATAAATACTTTTAATTTTCACATGTATATATTATATGATATGTTATCATGTTATTATTGTAGGTGCTAAGCGAGATCACGTAGAGAACAGACGTGGCGGAGGTAAGCCTGAATCTAAACAACCGCCAAGAGGAATGAGGGTGATAATTTGGTGGAATAGTTCTAATTTGCCCGTTGGTCCTTGGTCGACCCGATTGAATGCATATATTGGGGTTCTCGTGCGTAGAGCGACCATTATCAACCCTTATTTTCATTTTTGAGAATTACCATGGACCGCATACGAGGCGATATGGACTGAGCTTATGGTAAGTGCATATTGTTTTAGATTTTTATTAATTAATAATTAGTAATTAATATTAAGTTATCCTTACTAAATGTGTATGTAAATCTACAGGACTGCTTCTGCCTTGAGGACTTTGAGGGGGCTTGGAATTATGTATTTAATATCAAGGTTGAAGCAGTCCTCAAACAATGGAGGCATGAGATCAAACATGAAACCTATGACAGGTATGAGGAGAACTGGCAGAGGTTTTTAAACCTCGATGGCCGAGTTGACGAGATTCATTTCACGTCTCTCCTCATGTATTGGGACAGCGATGCCACCAAGGTTAGTTTCATGAAAATTACTTTATAATTTTAAGATATTATTTCATTGCATATTTACAGATTTTTTTTAAAGAATAAATCCACAAAGGGGTCAGCAAATAGAAGAAAGAAGCTGCATGACCACCACTTGGGCTCACACTCCTATGCCAATCTGGAGGATGTTTATTGTCAGGATACGGTATATGTCATTTAAAGCTTTAAAAGATCTTAATGCTTAGTATGATTATGAAATCTCATAATTTATAATATGATAGGGAAAATCATTAATGCCGTTATGAAATCTCATAATTTATAATATGATAGGGAAAATCATTAATGCCGATACACTTGAGGGCAAAAGTGGTGTATGGTACTTTTCGTGATAGATATAGGGGTGATGAGAAGAATTGGGATAAGATCAAGGCAAATCTTGAGTTGGTGGTGAGACTTATACATATCTTGAGTAGTATTATTAATTCTATTTTGTTGTTAACATTACGAGGAAACGAGAACACAAATAATATGGTCATTACCTTGAATTAACTATAAATTTGTGCTTTAGGAGGAATCTGAGGCTGCATCCAAGGAGGCTGTATTTGTGTACATTTCGTAGGAGGAGGAACAAACCGAGCCGGACCCTCACATGCTTTCTGTAGAGGAGAACATCAATCTCACACAGAACCTGATGGGTCATAATAGGTAAGGATGGTAAAAAATTGAATCAATTTGAATACTACATACTATTTATATTTGTTTACCATTATTGAATTTGAGAGCAAAATTTAATATTTATTTCTCCCTAATAATAGGAGAGGAAGATATCCTCTGCATGGTGTCAGAGCTTCACCCGGCATACGTATGAGATCATCCACAGCATCCTCCATGCTATCTACATCAATGAGAGCAGCCACAAGCAGTTTCCAGGCTATGCCATTTGTTGCACATATCTCTACGTATCTAATTAACAAAATTGATCCGGAACTGTATATTCAGGTGACTAATGAGATGACTGGAGTTGCGCTGACGGCGAACTCGATGGACAATCTCATAGGGTATGTTATACAATATTTAGGCAGTGCGATTCCTTATAGCACGTATGGTGGTATCATATGGATCATTAGCTCGATTGGCGATAATTCTGACGCTAGACAGAGCAGTGCTCATGTACCTTATTTTTTCTTATATTTATAAATTTATTTTTATTTAATATGTTATCAAACACCACATAATGATTTATAAATTTATTTTTATTTAATATGTTATCAAACACCACATAATGATTATTCAATTGAACATTCAGAGTGGAGATAGTTATCAAACACCACATAATGATTATTCAATTGAACATTCAGAGTGGAGATATTGGAGGGAGCAGCACCTGTTCTCGTAATCGGGATAGAGATACCCCCGTCAACGACGATGGATGAGGTTTTTTTATTTTTAATGCAATAAACAGTTTTATTTATTATAACACTACATTTATTCATGTCGTGTATCCTATCTTAGTCATGTGCATTGTTAGTATATATGTTGTTGGATGTATATATTAGACGGAACTGGTTGATGTATATTTTGAAGTGGATGGTTGGATTTGTACAATGTGTTGGATTTGGTTATATTTGGTTTTGAATGGAATTATTATGAATTTTGATTATAATTGGATGGTTGGATGTATTCATGTGTATAGTATTTTTTGGATGTATTCAAATATTAATGTAATTGTACAGAAAAATACAAATTATAATTAATTTTTTTTGCTAGAAAAAAAGCAACCTAGACGGAATTCTGTCTAGTCTGACAGACTAGATGGAATTCCGTCTAGTTTGACGGACTTGACGGAATTCCGTCTAGTCTGTCAGACTAGACGGAATTCTTACTTCCGTCTTGGTTGACTTCTGTCTAGTTTGATCAGCCTAGACGGAACTCCATCTAGTTTGATTCAATCTAGACGGAAGCAAAATAAATGGACCTAACTAGACGAAATTCCGTCTAGTTGAACTAACCTAGACGGGATTTGGATCAACCTAGACGAAAATTTCCGTCTAGGTTGCTCGTTTTTCTACTAGTGAATATTGAATGATATTTTTCCTCGACCTACAAAATATGATGTTTATGATAATGTCGAGGATGATATCAGAGATAAAAGTGAAGATGATATCGAAGTTGAAGCTGAAGAGGTAGGAGATGTTGAAAGTGCCGAAAATATTAATGATATGCATTCCTCCACAGAAATAAAGTGAATAATGGAGCTACTAGAAGATAGTGAAAAAGACTTATATGAGGGATGTACCGAGTACTCCAGATTTTCATTTATGCTAAAACTCCTACATATTAAGACACTTAGTGGTATGTCAGATAATTATTTTGAAATGCTTCTTGATTTGCTTCGGACTGTAATTCCTGGAGGGTATGTCAGATAATTATTTTGAAATGCTTCTTGATTTGCTTCGGACTGTAATTCCTGGAGGAGAGAATAACATACCCCAAACAACTTATCAAGCTGAGAAGATTGTCTCTGCTCTGGGTCTTGATTATAATAAGATTGATGCATGTCTGAATGATTATATTTTGTACCACAAAGCTAATAAAGACCTTCAAGAGTGTCCGACATGTGGAGTTTCTAAGTGGAAGCAGCGCACAAATTCTTCAACAAGGATTACAACGGAGACATGGATAACACAGAAGAAAATTCCAGCCAAGGTGCTTCGACATTTTCCATTGGCTCCTAGATTGCGAAGATTGTACATGAACAAGGAAACGACAAAGAATATGAGGTGGCACAAGGAAGATCGAGTAGACGATGGTAAATTGAGACATCCTGCTGATGCTTTAGCTTGGAAGCATGTTGATAAAATTTATCCTCGTTTTGCCGAAGATTGCAGAAATATAAGACTGGGTCTATCAAGCGACGGATTCAATCTATTTGGGGTAATGAGCTCTGGCTGGTCTACGTGGCCAGTTGTATTAATGCCATATAATTTATCTTCATTCTTTATATGAAATAACCGTTTATGATACTTTCATTACTAATACCCGGTAAGCATGCACCGGGAAATGATATTGATGTATACTTAGAGCCTCTAATTAATGAGCTAAAACAATTATGGTTTGACATTATTTTAGCATATGATGCCCATTTAAAAGAGTTGTTTAGATTACGTGCTATTCTATTATGGACGATTAATGATTTTCCAGCTTATGCTAATCTGTCTGGGTACTCTACGAAGGGCAAGTGTGCTTGTCCTGTATGTGGTCCAGAATTTAAAGCTCTTCAATTACCACATAACCGAAAGAGTTGCTATTAGTTTAATCGAAGGTGGTTGCCCTTGAGTCAAAAGTATAGAAAATTATCAGCTATGTTTGATGGTACAGTTAAGAAGAGAATGAAGCCGCGTTAGCTGACAGGTAATGAGATCGTAAAATTACTTGAGGGGTTTCTAAAAATTATGTTTGGAAAAAATCGCTATTCTAAATTTAACCCGCTCAGAGTAAGAGTTTACTTAAAGTCAAAAAAGCCATTGAAGCATAAACAAAAGGTCCGAAAAATGCAAGTTGAGGACGAAGCCGAAAAATTACCTAGAGGATGGACTAAATTTAGTATCTAAATTTAGTATCTTCTTTCAGCTACCTTATTGGTAAAATCTTAAAATCTAATACAACTTAGATGTCATGCATATTGAAAAAAATATATGTGATAACATAATATCAACTCTCCTACAAGATGCAAATAAGTCGAAGGATGACCTACGGGCGCGCCAAGATCTGACTGCTTTGAATATCCGAAATGATTTGTAAGCTGAAGATGTTGGCCTTGAAAAATTAAAGTTACCTCCTCTCGTGTTACAATGTGAAATGAGCAGATGCAACGGTTTTGTGAAATTCTCAAATCGGTAAATTTGCCGGATGGTTACTCTGCTAACATTTCAAATAATGTCCAGGTGCAAGAGAGGAAACCCTTAGGTCTGAAGACCCATGATTATCACTTTCTTCTCGATCAATTGCTTCCTGTTGCAATCCATAACAATATGAAAAAAGAAGTGTCGAAGATTATTATTGAGTATTGTGGATTCTTCAAAAATTTATGTTCTAAAGTCATAGATGTAGATGAATTTAAAAAACTTGAAGTTGAGGTCCGAGTTACTCTATGCAATATGAAAGTAATATTCCCTCCTTTATTTTTTACAGTTATGGTCCATCTTACCCAGCATCTTGCAAGAGAGGCTAGAATCATCGGTCCTGTTACTTATTGTTGGATGTATCCGATTAAAAGGTAATTTATGGTTTTTGTTACATTTATTAATTGTATATGCGTTTTTAAAATAACCGTGCTAATAATTAACTCTTCTTATGATTCTAAGATACATGGGCTCCATGAAACACAATGTTCGCAATCGAGCTTGTCCCGATGGCTCGATAGCCGAAGGATACATGGCTAACGAATGCTTTGTGTTTGCATTATGTTACATGTGCAAGAAGAAAACCATATTGTAAAACCCCGATAATTTATAAATAATAAAATTTATGTGTGATAAATTATGATATGTGGATATTTAGTATGATAAATATCATTAAATGGTATATGAGTATATAAATTATGATATGTGGATATTTAGTATGATAAATATCATTAAATGGTATATGAGTATAATACCATGTGATTTGAGTATGAACGTATGATAAATATCATTAAATGGTATATGAGTATAATACCATGTGATTTGAGTATGAACGAGTTCATACACGAGAGATAAAAGTATTGAAACATGCACAAATGGCCAAACTCATGAGAATCTGGGAAATCCCAGTCCGGTCGATCGCCGTGGTCGACCGCAGCCCGGTCGACCGTCACGGTCGACCGTGAGACATGTAGTCTGTTTTTCTCCTGTTTTGAGTTGGTTTCGGATTTCAAAACCCATATTCGTTTTCCCCTGATATATATATGAGTTTTTCACAATTTTCTCAGTTTTCCTAAGAACCCTAACAGCCACCGAAACCCCGCAAACCCTAGTTTGATTTCTTGGAGAAGATTGAAGGCTTTCAAGTGGATTTTCGGGTGATTCTTAGCTTTTGGAGTGGAGATCTTTTTTAACCTTGCTTCTAACACGTTTTCCTGCAACCAAATGCGAGTATCATCTCTGCTAATCCCCCTCCTAGTTTTCAAAACGTTTTTAAAGAGTTTTAAACATGTTTTGTAGAGTCTAAATAACTAGTTTATGAATAAAGTTAACTTTTTTGTATTATATGTAAAGAGACTGGGTCTTTCTATGCTAAAAAGGTTGAGAACGATTTTTACAAAAGTATTTAAGACCTGAAGATGATTTTAAAACGTGGTTAATCTGAAGAAAGAAGTTTGAATTTTAAAACGTGGTTAATCTGAAGAAAGAAGTTTGATTCGTTGTTTTGAGCTTTTATGCATGTTTTAGGGTTTTGAATAATTCGTTGTTTTGAGCTTTTATGCATGTTTTAGGGTTTTGAATACAAATCAAATACATAAAATTATGTTCATAATTGTTGAGCTGTTTTTAGATGTTCATATCTATTGTGACATGGTTGCATACAAATTTTATGAAGATTTAAACATGTTTACATCGAGAAAATACGACATGAACACGACACACACACAACCAGTTTGGAAAACTGGAAACAATGTTCACGGTCGACCGCCACGGTCGATCGCGTACAGGACAGAGACCTGGGTAGTCTCTGGAGCCCGTCGCGGTCGACCACCATGGTCGACCGCCACGGTCGGCCGCCAATTGGTTTTGTCTATGCATGTTTACTTGCGTAGTTTTTTTCGATGTTAGTAATTGTTTAACACCTGGGATGATTGTGAACTTCAGAAGAGGACACGTACACCGAGATTTGTGCACGTATGATAGATTGTGTTAGATTGACACACTTTTAACATGAGATAAATTGATAAACACATATTGAATAATGTTGTTCTATACGTATCCGAAAATAGGGAGATGAAACCTATTTGCCGCAGAACGATTGAGTAAAAGTATTACAAAAGTATCGTTATTACACGTATCCGAAATAGGGAGATAACAAAACCTATTGCCGCAGAGCGATTGAGTAAGAGCATTACAAAAGTATCGCCATAGCACAAGATGATGCACACATAGATATTTGATCAGTTATAAGTTTTACTTCCATGATAGACTACCCGTGAGTAGGGTATTTACTTTGAGATTTTGGCACACCCGTTATGTACGGCAGTTATATTTCGTTTTGTTTTGATTGGCATCCTCTTATATTAGAGCATGCTACTCGGATGTACTTCGAGATGAGATTTATTCTTTATGTTGGAGATTTGAGTATGTTTCCTTGACTATTTGTTTTTCATTCATGAAGAGCTATATGAATGATTTGATATATGTATGTACTGACTCTATTTTCTATATATATACTCCTACCCCTTTCCCTGGGGAGAGGTAGTGATGATCTCGCTAGCGCTTTGACGCTCGTTGTTTCCCCTCTTTCAGGCAGCGAGTCCGACGCACGAAGAGTCGTAGGTTGATGGGACATCTTAGTTGTCCGTTTAGCTATTTATTATACTTTGTAGTTATTGCAGAACTCCACATGTAGTTGATTATTTTTCAGACTCTAGATTGGTATTTTATTT